TGGGAGAACTTGCACAATTGGTGGCTGACTAAATACTTTTTTGCCCCACTGTATATATAGAGAGAGATGACTTGATTTCTGAGTTATGCAGTAGACAGATCTTCTGTATATAACTTACTTCTTTTTTGTCTGCAAAATGTAGTCATGTCAAGACTGTGAAGCTTCTGCTATTAGCCAGTTACAGAAGGGTGGGGTGAAGTTTCTGGACAATCAAAATTTATGAGTTTGCCTGTTCTGATAGCCGACCACAGAAAGGAGCTATGGGTTGCTTACTCCGATAGAAGCCATTTGTTAAAATATGTTATTAATAACTGTTAACAAGTCTGCTAAATGGAACTAAAATATATTTAAGACAACAGTAAGCAAACCTGAAGTTGCTACAGCTATGACTTTAAGAAATACAGAAATTATGAAGAATACCTGGTTGTGTGTAATCAAAAAGTCCCTTATGCTTATAGCATCAACAAGCAAGTCATTCTTAATATCAATGGTAATCTCGCCATAAGAAACAGAACCTTCTGATGGCCAATACTGAAAACATTTTTCCTGTAAAATTGGAAAGAAAAAAAAAACGTTGCTTTCCAGTTTCTTGTTAATATCTAAGGTATGTCAATTATTCCTGGGAATGGTGATACACAAATTAATTCCAGTCTTCCCTACTCCCTACATTGCACGATAATCCAGCTGTATTAGAGTAGTGGAAAGAAAAATCAAGTAGCACATGATCTGTATTCTTTTTTATCTCAATTTTCTATGCTTAATGAATATTGTATGTTAACGTTTCATAAGCAAAATTTTGATATTTTTGCAAAAATTATTTAAAAGCTGAAAAAGCAATACAATTATATTAAAGCCATTTTATGTACCAGATATTTTAAGATAATTTATGTTGATTTTGTAATTCTACTGTGAAAGCCATTATATCTTTTTTTGTGTGTATCTCTCTCTCTCTGTGTGCCTTCATGTCAGCCCTGGCAACTTTCTTGGCAGCATTTTTAGAAGTGGTTTGCCATTGCCTTATTGTTAGGGCTGAGAGAAAGTGACTGGCCCAAGGTGACCCAGCTGGCTTTGTGCCTAAGGTGGACTAACTCAGTGTCTCTCAGCCTGGTGCTTTAACCACTACACCAAACTGGTTCTGATATCCTAAATAAGGCAATACCAAATACACAGAATTCTTACTATAATAAATTGTAAATATTAAACATCACTAACATCTGAGCACAGAAGCCCACTTAATTCCCACTCAATTTCTTGCCACTTGATTATAACTTCCTCTGAATTATGATGACTTTCTTTGGACTTTGGCTATTTCACAAGGTATGACAATTGAATTTCTTTCTGAAAACATGTGATTGTACAGCCAAACAAAAGTAATTAAAACTTTTGCAAACTGTGTGTCTGTCTCTGTCTGTCCGTCTGTGATAGACAGTGTTTGCCTCTGCAGCAATTCAAGAGTAGCCAGCTTTGCTCCTTCACAGGAGATTTCACAATTTATAGAACAGTTAAAATCCTGGTTAAGTCAACAGCAGCATCAATTGTATCTAAATTTGATAGATAGATAGATAGATAGATAGATAGATAGATAGATAGATAGATAGATAGATAGAACTTGCACAGCCTCTGGACTGCAAAAACAGTTGCTCACAAATTCATGCTAGGACTGTTGAGGCACTACATTTTACAGATCAGTGTTAATGAGTTATAATGCACAAATGAGCTTTCCATATTCTTGTTCTGTTTTTGAAAATATTAACAACAAAATATTTACAAGATACTGTACAAAATGTTCATACTTGCTCCCTTTCCAGAACTTCTGTAAGCATCACAATGGTGTGGCATTTCCACTCCCACACCATTCGCCAGAAGTCTTCCACAGTGTGAGGAAGAGGTCCTTGAGTTGCAATGAAGTAGTCCTTTTGGCGATAGCCCTGGACACAAACAAATATTTGATCCTCTGACAATTCTGTTATTTATAGTCCCCTCTGTTTGAAAGGAATTTCATATTAAATAGATCTATCAGAAGAGATATTTTCTTTCAACAGGTCCTTCCAATGCCACTCCCATTCAGTCTGATCCACAAATGGAAGAAATGAGTTAAGCAAATTTAGCCCAAGGCTTCACTGGGGCATTTGGATTGTGCTGAAAAGGAGGCATGTAGGATTCTGGCACCAGAGAAGGCAAGGGTTTGTTAAATTAATAAATAATGAGTCCTCTTTCTTCTGAAAAGAGAATGTGAGAGCAATACCATCGTGTTGACTACATCAGTAATCATGAAAGCTCAGGGCTTCTAACAATGATCTGTTGAACAAGCCACAATGGCCTAATTTAAACAATGCAGTTGGAAGCCACATGTTACAAAACACAATGGTTGGTTTCACAAAAGTCAAAATCAAACACGTGACATTATGTTTACTGCCAGAGTGTGTATCTTCTTCCGTAGTTGACTTTGAGAAGGGGGCCAGATGTCACACTCCTTAGAGTAGGTGAGACCAGGAAAGAAAATGATTCCTTTCATGTATATTTAAATGTATTTAAAATATCAAATTCATTAAGTATAGTTAATATGATCATTCCCTGGTCATGTATTCAATATTTTTTCTCATTCTGTCACATTAAAAATACGATTAGATGGCTAATCGTGTGGCTTCAGTCAAAGCATTTTGGGCATCACACCCCCCATGACCCTTAGGTTATGCAACGTTGGCATAATGCACCATATGAGTTCAGCACTATGTAAATGAAGATGCATCTGTTATTGAAGCCCCAAGAAAGAGCACATTCTTCACCAAAATAAATGGGCAGAGCAAAGTTTGACAGCAAAGAAAGATCTCTATTTCTGTTTTCAATTGAATAAAGCAAACCCTGCAACAGTAAAAAGTAAAGCAAACATGGCTCTAAGAAAAAGCAAAGATGTTTGCTTCTTTGTGTCGATATTTTAAATACAAAGTCTTTTTTGTTATTATTATGAGGCTCTGATTCTTTCTTTAAAATTCACAGGTTATTAACATATAGTAATGCTGAAGCTCATGATATACTGCTGTTTTCTAGACTCATTTTAAAGATTCTTGAAAAGACTTTAACATCTGTTATGTGCATTTTGTGTACAGAAAAATACTTACATCTATGAAGGAAGCATTGATATAATCTGTGTACTCCTGACCTCTTTTCATTGAAAGAATCACTCTGTTAAAGTCATCTAAGAGGCAAAAAAAGAAGACATACTAGATTTTGTAAAATTCTAAGCATTTTATGATCAATAATAGCATATAAATTATGGCTGGCAGGTTTTTATAAAATTAAGGTAATTTATTTATATTTCAGTCTGCAATGCCACCTGCTGTTGATTGTAAAACATTACAATATTTTCTCAGGCAAATTTTTGTCAATCAAATTATACAATTTGTATGAAGACACAATTTAATTTCTTACAAGGGATGATTTGGATAACTCTGGCTTTCTTCATGTTTGCTGGCAGATTACCAGTTCTCATGTTTTCTTTCATTATTCGAACATTTGTTAATTTCTAAAACAAAAGTAAACATTAAATAATGAATATGTGTATGAAAGTATGAAAGCTCACTATCAGAACAGTAACAAATTCAACTCAAATGTCTTAATCATATTTTCTTCTGAAAAATTCTCCTTGATAAACCAATATGCCATATCAGTGCATTTACACAAAAACTTTTTTACATACATCTATAGAAGGGAATTTTAAAACTGAAAGTTTCTACCACATAATGCCCACTTAGTGTTTATGTCTAGAAGCTTTATAGGGAGTCAAGTGTTTGCAGTTGGATCTCTGCAGTTGGTCTCATTATTTGCAATTTAAAGTAATACATAATTATAGAATATGAAATCACTGATCCCGTGATATTCTATAAGCTTATCTATTAATGAAAATAAGAAAATTTTAAAATTACTGGAAGAGAAAACTATTTTATTTCAAGATACAGTAGCATTCAGAAGGAGGGTTTGAGGCACTGTGAGTTATTATCATATGATTGGTGCAACCAATGGAAAGATTGAGTAATTTATAGGATTAAAAAAAAAATACTTTAGGACACTTTATAGAATTAATTATTGGATTATAGGATCAAAAACTAGATTATTGATGGAAAACATATCTCTGCAAACATATCCTGCTGAAAAACTGGTCACAAGTTCCAATATAGTGTCAAATGAGACAATTGCAAACTTGTAAGAGACTTACTAATCAGAATATTAATTGAATATGAAGAATGTAAATAACTACATAATTTACAATCAAAGAAATATTTTTATGTTATACAATACTCTTGTATCAAATACAACAGACTGTTGAAAGGCTAAAAAAATGGGAAGACTACTTAGAATTTAAATTTGATGAATCAAGTTTGGAACTCTACAGTATACAATTCTCTTCATCAAAAATGGACTATAAAGTATATAGGTACTACTTCATAGGTAGTATTACATCCCATTAAAATTGCATTATATTAATAAGAATTAATTTATATTGGAGAGACTGTAATCAATGTCCAATTGGTGGACATTACCACGTTTACTGGAAATGTAACTCATTTTGGCCTTGAGGAAATTGGGAATCTTTGGAAATTCTGTTGGTTTAACTATCCATTTTTTCCTAAGACTTACACAAAGAGACAGTGTAGTAAATTAATTTTTGTTGCTAACAAATTAATTATATCAAAACACTGGCAAACTAGTTTTTGTGGGAAGAAAACGGATTAATGGGATTTTTAAAAGAATGTAATAGCGTTGTCTGAAAACTTAACACAGCTGTAAGAAGTCTTGAAGAATGTTTTAATGAAGGATTGTTTCTTAGTTATAGAAACAAAATAATTTTCAAGTTCCTTCACCAATACATGTGCATTTTTGGACAGGAATACTGAATATGGAAGTTTTTTCATACTCTTTATCACTATAAGTGAACATACATACTCCCAAACTGTTTTCTTCTTTTTCAAATATTTGCTTGGGTGAGGTTTTTGTTCTTGCTATTGTTTTTATTATGCCGCTTTTATTTTCAGAGTATTATTAAGGTAGCTAGTTTAAATATAAAAATTAAAAAGCAAAGAAATAAAAAACTTTAATTTTTAAATTGTACTTAACTTTTGATATTTTATGTATAAATCATATGACAGATATTGCTAAAAAAAAATCAAATATTTTAGGAAAGAACTCTACAGTTAAAAAAGAAGCATTGGAGCAATTCAGACAAACCACACTTCAAAATTGTGTTTTGTTGTCATATTTTATAACAAAATTTTATAAATATATAATGCTTACTTTTGGGAGGATGCAGTGGTGCAGTGGCTTAATGACGCTGAAAGTTGCCGGCCAGAAATGGTCGACACTTCAGCAGTTCGAGCCCAGCTCCGCACAGCAGAGCGAGCCCCATCTCCTGCCAACCCAGCAGCTCAAAAACTTATGTGAGTAGATAAATGGGTACTCTCACCCCAGTGGGAGGA